ATGCGAAGAAAACCCTCGTCCATTCTTTACACGCATACTCTCCCATCCAACGAGAAGGGCATGGTGCGAGATGACTTTCTGGACCTCTTGTATGGCGACATATCCCTGATCTACTCCAGTCTACATGAAGTGGTGGCGCTCGCTCTGAAAAGCAATTGGAAACAATTCCACGAAAACATCACGTGGAGAATGAAGAGTGTCAACGGGCAGATTGGAAGAGGCATAATTTAGGTACAGGACTCGCCGTTCAATGCATACCTCGGCAAATCAATACAAATAGTTTCCATTGTCTAGACCAGTGCGATCCTATGACTCGGCCTTCGAGTATATAGTATTCATAGATATGATATACGTAGATAATCTCAGAGATGGTTATACAACATGAGATATAAGATAGGGTAAATAAAGGAGTGAGGCATACTATAACAAACGAAAATTAAGGATAGTGGACAGTGTTTGGATGTACTTGTAGCATAACTCTGGCCAGCAGATAACGAAGCAAAGGAGATCCAGCGCACTAAAATACAAATAAAAAACTCTGGTAGCGATGGTATAACGAAGTGGACAAGGTGAAGGGGCTCATTGGACCCTTTCAGCATCCACGCTCGTCTCTACGATTTCGACGAGAGCCTTTGCTCTTGCCCTCGTTGTAGCGCCGGGTGTTCGGGTCTGTGGCTGTGCATCTGATTGTGGCTGTGCTTGTGGGCAATGGTCATTTTCCTCCTTGTCCGTGTCCATAACCGTTTTCTGCGACTGTGACATTCGAGAAAGGGGCCGTTTTGGGACATCAACGTACGCCAGACGCTGGACAACCCGTGTCCCGCCTGGACTTGACTTTACAAAGAAAGGGGAGCCAATGCTGCTTGTAGGTTTATGCCCCTTGAGGGAACTGGTGCTACGTTTCGATTCGAGAGAATGAAAGTCGTTGTTGGTAAGTGTTAATGAGGAGTCGATGGAAGATACAGGTTTTTCCGATGAGGGTCTTCGTCTCTGGATGGATTTGGGCGTTGGGCGCTGCTTGGTAGATGGAGGCGATGACGATGATGAATCGTTGCCATCTGTCATTGATTTTCTGGGCTTTCGCATTCGCCTTGGTTTAGGTGTAGGCGCTGGCATATCTACATCCATCTTCTCTTCTTCCTTGCTTTCATCCTTGGGTTCAGCTGGGACGACATCCCCACCGCTCTTCCTGCGAGAGGAGGTGCTTTTCGTTCGTCTGCGCTTTCTGACCCTCTTTTCATTTTCTGCGTCAGTCTGTGACATTGGATCTTCGGCGTCCGTCTCATCATTCGTTCGCACCCGCTTTCTCGGAGCACGTGTTGTATGGGTGACAGATGAGGGGGTAGGCGACAGTAGGGTGCCAGGACACCGAAGACGCGAACATGATACTAATTTGTCATCGTTAGGCGTGGAATCCGCGCGGAATCTCGCTCGCTTAATGTCGGTCTAATGCGGGGACCATGTAAACAACGTGTTTTCGAGCAGTCAACAACACGCGACATACCGTGTGTTTTCCCTCATAGCACCATCCGTCGGGTGGGCCCATATCACCGTCGCCCTCGACGGTACGGCCGCAGCAACCCCAGAGCGTTTCATATTCAGACGCGAGGTTCAAGTCCTTCGCCTTGCTCAGTGATATCCGCTCCACCTCGGCGCTATCGTCGTCATGGGGGACAAGACAGCTTCTATCGGTGTTTCTCGACACCGAAAAAAGACTTGTGGCACCTCACGCAATGGAGCTTGGGCGGAGGCACAAGGGTCGAAAAGAACGACGTCAATTTTGTCAGGGTGGTCGGTGATGGTGGCTCTGGGGCTTCAAGTTCCAGTCGGTCTAAGCTGTATGCGTGAAAGACCTGAGGTGGCACCGAGCGGATCAAAGAGTACAAAGGGGACGGATCGGATACTTGAGGGGGCGGAGGGGAAGGCGGAGGCAACTGTTGAGGGAGGTCCGAGAAAGCCATGTCTTGGTCATTGTCTGGCTGTGTCTGTGGCTCCGGCTCTGCCTGTTCGAGCGACTGACGTGGCTTTCGTGAAAAGAGATTGAAGATCATAGCGGGGATGGTGGTAAGAAACAAAGACGGCTTGTACGCTGAGCCGCGAGGCGCGATAAACACATTGTCATCACGTGACTACTAAGCTATTGTCGCGCCGGCTCCGAGACTCCGAGAGTCTGGAACGCTTCGAGTCAAATGACTGAAAGAAAAATGGAGGGGTCGTAGATCGATTTACTATCACTACCACCTTCGAGTTCGAGGAGGGTGCGGTTTTTATGGACCAGGTGCCACGTGGACTTGGACGACGATAAGATAAGCTCGAGAAGGACCACCACAAAGAAATGGATGGAACTCTCCGTTCTCTTGGGTCCACAAAATCCACACTAGCTGGCTTCTGGAATTTCGACGCGGCGATAGCCGACGAGGCTCATATATAAGTGTGTGGCGCGGTATTGAGTTACTGCGGATTGTAGTGCTGCTGCAGATACGACGATGGCTGCTGCCGCACAACAGACCACAGCTAGCACGGACACAGATTTTATTCGATTTCCCCCCTTTCCCCTCGTCCCCCCCGGTGTCGAGATCATACCGTTCAAGAACTACAAGGAGACAGGAATAAAATTGTTCTGTCCCGGGAACGACGGCATCGAGGTCGATGGACAAGACATCCCCACCGTCGAACTCGAGAAAAAACACACGACAGACAAATGTAAGACAGATGCACTGAGGAAGATGGAAGACAAGGAAGATAAGCCTATCGTGGCCAAGAAACGCAAAATCAAGGCAAGCGCGATGAACGCAGCTCCCAGGAAATGGTGGGAAATCTGGCAAGACGAAGAAGCAGGAAAGTTCGCTGGGCCGTATAATTTGTGTGTCCTTTCCACTTAACGTCTGGATCACTATCGCTGACATTGCCACAGAAAGACCCCGATCGACAGATTGATCCAAGCTGCTACCGATTTCCGTACATCCAGGACTTGGCCGAAACCCGAGGCGCGTCAGTTGGGCGTGGATAAGCTTTGGGATCAAGTTCGGATTTCCTTGTCTCTAATCAAGTTGATTATCTGACATCGTAGCCAGTTTGGCGCCTTTATCGGCTTACAAGCCATCATCCCTGCATGGATCCGTGCGGAAAGAGTGAGAGCGGAGGAAGCAAGGAAAAACATCCAAGCTGCTGTTGAAAAGGCCGGCGAAAACGCGAACTTGGACGATGACGATTCTGAGGATGATGACGCCCCTATAATTAAGCAAGACGCAGACGACGGTGTCTCTTCTGACCCTGTCGATCAGGAACAATCACACGTGAACGATGGTGCGATAGCCGCTATTGAGGAGAAAGAAACAGCCGCTATTGAGGAAGAGGAAGAACGCAAGGTCGAACGGATTTTGGCTTTTTTGGCCGATCCGGAAACAGTCGTCAAAATGTTCTTGTCCAGCTATATGCGCAAAGAAGGCTTAATATGGTATATCTCCATCACTCTTCACTGTCAACGTAAAAACTCAAACCTGTTCTACTCTAGGTCAGATCCAAACCTGTTTAATGCTCCACGTGTCCTATTCTTCTTCTTCCGTTTCGTGTTGCGGAACAAATTATTACCAAAGCATGAGGTTGGCTTTAAAAAAGCGCTTGGGGTCGTCGAACGCGCACTGCTGGAACTCCAGAAAGTAGCGTTATCGCCAAGATCATCCCGTGTGAAGTAGGACTTGCTTTACGCGATCAGTTCGGGTTAAAAGCGGAAACCTTCAAGTACAAAATTTTAGATAACCACGACGAGAACGCGGGAGATGGAAACGCCGCTGGTGACGTGACTATGGATGATGTTGCTCTCGAAGAGCCTGCTGTAGAATACGTTGGAGGAGGAGAATATGCCGACGTAGTTCGGCCCGTTGACGCGGCCGTTGCTAAGATTGAAGAGATCGTTGAAAACGACGAGGGCGGCGACAGGGCGAGGAAGAGGGCTAAATTGGACGATACTACACAAGAACAAGAAGCGGAAATGGACGTCGATGAGGAAGGGGCTGGTACCTGGGGTGCCTGGGGTGCCTGGGATTGCCAAGCGTCAGGTGGCGAGCCCATCGAAGCCTCAGCAACTGATTGGAGCCTGCCGGTCTACTCTCTATCCAAGTTTATTGGTATGGATGCTCTTCCTGCCACGCATACAACTGGCGTGGTAGAGGAAAGTGTGAGGAAGATCATCAGCGTTCATGCGCCCGCAGCAAAATCAAATACCACCGACACGCTGGAAGCTCAATTGGAGGGCAAGCTTGGGAGGGTCGTCTTAGCGCCGTGGAATGAATGGGACGTACCGGCTATGGAGGAAGGGCTTGACGAAATAAGGAGGGTCTATACCGAGATTTACAAGGGCAAAAGGGTCAACAAGGCTATCCGACGATTCGATTCAAACGAAGGGGAAAAAGGTCAGGAAGTTGAAACCGGGAAGACCGAGGGTAGACCGAAGCGCAAACCGGAGGAATATTACGACGAAAATGCGGAAGATAACCTGGAGTCTACCGAAGCAAAGATAATTTGGGAGAATTCCAGAGGATGGGTGGTGGACCCCTCGTCCGGTAACATCGTCCTCGCCAATTGCATGCGGGGAAAACCGGGAGCATCGGCGTTACCTCCAAAGGGAAATGCGCACAATCCCCACAGGGATACCATTGAAGTGGTCGTTGAGCCTGTTGTAATTGACAAACTAAAGGATGTCGTTGGTATGGGTCTTGGAGGAACGTTTGTTCAGTTGGTCAGGGGAAAGGAATTGGCGTCAAGCGGAGAGAACACTATGGCAAATCTAAAGGCTTTTTGGTATATGGAAGATCTAAAAATTGTCATACCGAGCTTCTACACTTCGTAGTCAGTATAATGCGCCCGATGGATGTGCTAGTTATATACGACACTATCAATGTACATGTACCTTTTTCTTTCTTGTTCTTCTAAATGCATATTATGCTGAGGTAATTCTGTCATCGATATGCTCATAGAGTCCATTGTGAAACTCGCAAATGTCTCCGTTAGTATATCGGTTAGTACACGCGCCTGTCATGAATCAGATTGTCTGCGCGCGCGAAAGCGGGGTTCGACTCCCCGACGGAGAGAATATTTATTTATTTCTATTTTTGCCATTGGGAGGCGCACACTCGCACGCCTGCACACGACCATTTGGATATCCGTTCCTTGTTTCATGCCGTCACTCGATTTATTAAAAGCGCAACGGCTCACAGCGGACCTCAGCGGACCTCAGCGGCTCCCCACGAACCCCACAAAGGTTCCTTGAGATGGCCAATCGTGCCCTGCCATGTATAACAACAGTTCTTTCTGTTTCGATGTTCCGCAAATGGCCGGCCTAGAAGACACTCTAGTATCGTTTTACCGCCAAAATCTGTTTCAGCCACTAGTATGGTTTCACAGTGCGCAGATGAAGCCTGGTCCGTTTTGTGTACCCATCGTTTTTTTCTCCTGGAAGGAGCAAGATTGCAACACACCTCGACTATACCATTATTTCTATGCCATTGTCGGGGAAGTTCTTAGAATTTCCGAACCGCTCCTCGACGGCTTTTATCGCGACTTTCCAGTAATTCTGATCGTCTTCGTTTTAATCGATTACCGCCAATATTTACGATCATGCCTGGGCTTCCGATCTGCTATCAGTACGCACTAACAGGAAGATGTACCAGAGGAGCAAAGTGCCCATCCCTTCACCAGACTCTCGAGGTACTTTCTTTATCAATGTGCCTACATCTATTCACTGGTTTTCGACGCAGAATCCGACTTTTTCCCCCATTTTTCCGATTTATCCTTTTCAACTTCCTACAAGACTGCGGCTCGTGCGTAACTCGACGCATTCGCCCAAATCACCTAGCACACCGCCATTCAATGCGCCGATAAAGAAAAAGATCCAAATTCCGTCTCTCCCGATGGCTCATCCAGTGAAAGTTCCGGAGCTCTGAAAGCGATTAGCAGCGGATCTTCCATTGTCGAAAGTCCGTTGTCCGTCGAGAGTCAACTTCGGCTCAACTTAGAGACAGCGTTACTCGAGTTGGAGGTTGAGAAGTCGATAACCACGCGACTGAGAGTGGAGCTTGAAGAAGAACCCCAGTCACAAGTTCCGGTAGAAGAACATCCTACCCAGCCCGTTGGGGGGAATGGACCTTTAGATGCAGGGGAAAACTAGAACGTATCGTTCAGAAGGACTGGAGGGCCCAGAAGGCGATGCAGAAAACAGTAGAATCGGAACGCAAAGTAGAAGAGGCAGATGAAGTGAACATATACGCAAACTATAAAGCTGAGCAAGTAGAGCATGAGGCAGAAGCCGAGAAAAATTTGAACCTGGCCGAGCGGGTACTTTTCGAGGACGAACTGAACGACGGAGTCACAGATATTCCAGAGGCCCTGAAGAAACAAGCACGCCAACGCAGGCGTGCAAACCGCTCATTCCACATATGGGGATCCATGGAATCGAGAGGTAATACAGGCTTCGCCGGAATTCGCATGACAGCCACGCTCAGGGACTCTTACGTCATCGTACGGCGATTGCTATGGGACTCCACACTGGTCACATTCAGAGCAGGTCTAGAAGTCGCGTCTGTCGCGGGTGGCTTTGATAATGGCTTCATCGCAATCCACGGATTGCCCCTTGATGTGCGGGTGGACGAAATAGAAGCCATGTTCCAGGGCTCCAGGACGAGATTCTGTATCAACGATACCCGCCAGCACGGTGATGGCACGATTAGCGCCACTGTCATTGTCGAGGAAACACAGAAGCAAAGCCTGGTGAACAAGCTAAATGGGAAAAAAATTCGACATAAAATCGTCACGGCAAACATTATAGACGTTGCTGGAATCCCCCAATGCCCCCTTACACCCTCAGTCTCACGTGGGATTTCCTCAGTCCTAGACACATCGGATCCACGGTGTCTGAATTCTATTTGCAGGAATTTTACGTTCGCCTACGAAGAGAACTAGAGTCGAGCGCCGGCCTGGAATCCTATGCGTTTTCGACTCCTAGCCCCAAGGGTAGTCGCAATACGGCCGTTGCATGCTTCCGCACATGGGCGTCAGCCAAGAAGATGCATGATAAGCTTGCGGGGAGAAGGCTCAAGCCATATTTCCCTGTTATCCAATGTTCTTTACGACCTAACGAGCCCAAAACAAAATACGCCCTCTCCATACCTCTCCAGTTACACAACATCCATGGACTCGCAAGCGTTGTGAAACGTGGAGTGTCTGAAAACACTTCAGTAGATGGCGTAACCACCCCCGTTCAGTTCCTCAGCTCAGGATGGTTTGATGGTTGGAGCTGGTCGTCTGATTTGAAAACTGTCGAGTTCTTCGAATACGACCTCGTTCGCAGGGACTTGAGGATTGCAATGATCAAGCGCGATTGGCTGAAGCAACGCTGACCTTCTACGGTACGACTAAGGCGCTGTACAATTAATTTCAAACGAGGTAGAACGGTTTGCACGTCGCTCTGACTTGGTGCATCATTCCACCCCAATCAAAGGGCGATCAACTCAATCCTTCCACGCGAGTTCCGAGTTCGCAGCCCTGAAGGAGGAGCTCGGCGACGATGCTGTTTGGCTCGACGTGGAATCTTCCGTTTGTATGCTCCAGTATCGCGGAAGACCACGACGATCCAATTCCATGGAAACGTATCTTAAACGATATCGAGAATTACCGTGGAGATAACGAGAGCGAGAAGGTAAAATGTCGTGCGTGCCGCCTCGAGGTCGACCAATCCGTCGAAATGGCATGTGGCCATGATCATTGCGTCGGGTGCTTGAGACTCTATGTCTTATCGGTCCAATCGCGGAACCATTACCCTATTACGTGCCCCGGGAACGACAACCAATGCCGAGAATTGATTACTATTCCCATTATCCAGAGCTTGCTCTCCCCAACCGAATTCGAGGATTTGTTGGAGCAAGTAGCCGAATCACATATCGTGCGACATCGGAATCAATACAAGTACTGCGTCACTGCGATTGCATGCAGATGTATTGTCACACCGATGAAACCCGAGGCTTCTGACTTGTCCATCATGCTCGATTTCATTCTGTTCTGTCTGCCGCGCGAAGCCTCACGGGAAAGAGCCTTGCCGTTCTGCTGACTTTAGACGACAAACCATGATGTATGGGATTACGAAATGATTGAGTTATACGTCGTAGAGGAGTGGTAGTTTTACATCCATGGTGGATTCATTTGATACAGTAGCATACTCCCCTATAATCGTTTCTAGTCAATTCAGTGGCGATGTTTATGTTGAATTTCGTCGAGTGAGGACACTGGCCATCTTCAACACACGATAACTTTCTGGCATTTTTTTCCCGTTTATGATGGTTGGCTGCGAATCGGAGGCCACAGCGGCTCCCAGAAAGCTATTTAAAGAAACAGAGTCCTTGAGCTGTGAATGCAGTGGCTATCAACATCTCAATGAAATCCTATTGTTGGCGCACTTCGAGTTTTGCACCAGATCTTCGGTTGCACGATTTGCGATAGAAAATTGGTACGTGCCTGAAAGTAGAATCAACGAAAGCGACACTCAAACATTCCGGTCACTACCGATGGCGCCCATAGAATGGCGATCCGGTAGTAGCGGCTATGCTGAGAGCATAACTGGTCAAACAATCGTATCAGCGTAAAAGTGCTGCGGTAGGATGATCATCTCGAGTCTTGAGCAGATTATAAAAAATAGAGGTCAAGTGTGAATAAATATTGGTTCTACCCTGTCAACGATCGAAACGATATCTGAACGTTCACGTCATCGGGACATACGATGTCGTTATTGACTCGGATCGGCCATGAGCGAAACATAATTTTGGCCGGGGAAGGGGGAAGCATAAAACCGCATCTGTAGCCCGTTAAAAGCCGATACTGAAGGCATGCAATGCCACGATGTGGAGCATGGCGAAAACAGGTGGAAAGATCCGCACAGGCTGCAACGTCATGATGATATACAATCGCATTGTATCTCCGGTCATGATTTGCCGCGGACTTTCTACGTCCAACCAGGTAGGGTGGTACAGGAGCGGCTGCGACAAGAAATACAGCGAGGCGAATAGACAGATTCAAGGGCCCCCTTTCCGTCGAATGAGGTCAAGTATAGAGCGACAAGATGAGGAAGTTTCACCGTAATTCCGAGCCTGAGGCGCTTGCGCTGTTTCAGTCTGCACTGCTTTCAAAAAAAGAGTTCTATTCTATACACAGGGGAAACGAACTCTCTGATAATAGATGAACTCGATGCATCGGTATTTTCCGAGTCGCGTGGCGTACTACCACCTTGGTGGCGCTGCTACGTACTATGTGTTTATGGCGCTCATATAATTAACTAGATAAGCGTCGGCTGATGCCGGCCGCGACCTTGCTTGCACGCGTTCCGCCCGTCGTGTGCGTGATGAGTTACATGGAATTATATTACTTTTGATAGTTGACTCATACAAGATAATGGATAATGGATGTGATACTGTGAAATTGAAATGATGACTGTCATATGAATTTATAAAGCTCTTTTTTTTCCTTTTTCTTTGTCGGTGGCCTGTTCTTCGACCGTCTCTGCCGAGAAGGTCGGTGAGAGTTACTTTTTTTTTCAATAATTCCGAACGGTAATGCAGTATGTTGTTCTTGTTGTTCGATTTCGATTTCGGTTTGATCACTTGTGGACGACTGTCCGGATATAAATGACGAGGAAGCAGTTGGGGGAGTAATAGAACTGTTGGCCAGTTGTTAGTTAAAGTTTTAAAGAGTGACTTGTTGGAGCGACGAACGGTAGTACTGGTTGGTACATGCCTTTTCTTTGAGAGAGATGGTCTTGCTGTTGACGTTGTTCCAGACGTTCGGGCTTCGGTACCTAGGTTGAAAGTCACAGACATGAGGTCAGAGGCGGAGAACGCCTGAGTCTATAATTGATTTGCATGTGCCCTCGAATTTTATCCAGGAGTGGGTGGCTGCCTTTGGTGTTTTGCTCCATCGCGGGTGATTTCCGTCGTCTAATAAACCCATTTCATTTGTTTGTATAACGACTTGTGTTCGAAAGAAAGTGTACCGGACAGAACTGGACATGTATTTGTCTTTCACGCAGTCACGTCACCAAGCCTAAGCT